GGTGGTTTCTCTTTGCAGAAGAGCATTTCCTACTGCTCAAAGTCTTCAGCGTTTGCATCGCAACCTCTGGCTTTGAAGTTAGAAAAATCGCCAGGGGAGCAAAGAAGAAAATTACACCTCCACAATGTACAGCTATTTTTCATGCCTTCTTTTTCCCTTCAACAATAGGCAATAACCAGCAGCCAGCCTTCTTGTTCATAAAGGCCAGAGATGGCTGTCACAGTAGTCTTTACATCGGAATAGTCATGCTGCTTGGGAATATTGCGCACCACATGGGTCTCCGGGAAACAAAAAGTCGCATCAATCAAAGGAAAATTTCGGATTACTTTAATTGCTATCCAGGGTTGCTATGAGGTTTTGTTTTCCTAGTAAAGCATGTATAGTATGTAGCCCACAGATTCCCACCCAGAGACTGTGTTTAGTCTGAAAAGACAACTCGGGAAGGAAACAACAAGCAAAGTTTTATCTCTCTACCTCCCGGTAGCAAAATTATTAACGGTGCATATTTTTATATGTATGCACACACAGAGAAAAATACATTTAGGTCCCCCTCACATCCACTCCTAGTGATCCGTTTCAATCAGATTCTCACGGATTACTGCCCATTTCTGTCAGGGTTTTCGTTTCTTTTTTTTCCTGTCTTTTTTTTTGAGGAAAGGAGATGTTGAAGTTATTCCCAATCCAGGAGAGAAAAGAGCAAATAATTGCTTTTGAAATATTGTTAGATAGTGTGTGTGTGTGTGTGTAGAAATATCTGTCCAGCTGATATTCAGAGTCGTTACGTTTTTGAGAGTGTGGTAGCTTCCCATGCGTGTTTTCATTTAAAAATGAGCTATTAAAAATAAAAGTAGGTGGCAACGCAGAAAAATGCATGGATAATAAGAAGCTTATCGAGAAGTACATTGTGATCCTCAAAGGGCCCTGCTGGAAATCCAGGATTTAGATAGTAAAAATGCCCTGTTGGGGCATTTTTGGTCACTAGATCTGCAAGGCCTAGGAAGTGTCCCTTACTTTAAATAAAACCAAGATGGATTTCGCTGCTCTAATTCAGTAAGGAAAATGTACACCCGTGTTATTGGATTTGCTAACTAAAAAGGAATACATCTGTATTTTTTAATGATTCCATACTCCGTTCTATAAAGTCTAGCATCAACTGCCAGAATAATGTACTAAATGTTTGTAGTGTGGTGGTGACCTGTAATTATTTCAACACTGTTCATAGTTGTTGGAGATCTGTTTGAGTCTTGCTGAAATTACTAAAGCTTAGGAGAAAAACTGTGTACCGCTTTCAAAACTGAGTATGCCCCTCTCTTGCCGGTGTAATAAATGGAAATAAATAATTGGTCATCATCCTTAAATTCTCTAAATAATTGAACAATCATATGTTACTTCATTGCTTCTTCATGGGGGGGAAAAATCTGAATCTTCCATCATCCACCCATATCTCAGTTCAGGTTTATCTAAGTACCAGTGGTTCGAATCTTAACAAAGCTACATGACTGTTTTTAATATAAATTCAGTCAGATTTGAATATTCTCAGTAGCATAGATTAAAATATATTCCTATCCAATAACAGCCAATTACTAACAACAACAGACCGGAGACTTGGTGTGCCACTTCTGCAGTTCAAGTTAAAAAGCAAGTATACACCAGTACATATTTAAACAAATACTCTGTCTATCTAAACAGGATTTGTCAAACAGTTCCGTTTCCTTCAATCAAGCAAAAAAACCCACTGAGAATCAGTAATTGATGCAAATTCCTGTTAAAATTAAAGTAGGCCTTTGAAAATATTGTAGTTGGTTCATTTAGGGGGAAAAAATTGTTGACAAGATTTCTATCTATCTGTTGATTTGAGCGTTTCAAACCAATCTTTTTTGAAGCTTTCGTTCACCGTTGAATGAAAGCCGTCAAGACGATGTTATGTATGTATCTATCTTTGCGGAATAACTTGGATGTCTGTTTTTTTTAAAAAAATGAAAAATATATGCCTACTATTTAAGTCTGTCTGTCTGTTTACCTAACGACCTACAGTATCTATTTACCTATTGAATTTATATAGCTGCCCATCTCACGCATGGGGCTCTGGGCAGCGTACACAATTAAAACACAATTAACCACTACATTAAAGGCAAATAAAAACCAGTTAACAGTACAACTTTGCAAATTAGGAAATGGGGAAATCAGGTGGAAAAAGCACAAGCAAAATGTTTTGGAAGAAGACATGAGGAGAGCTGGGGAGGGGGAAGCAAGGCACTGAGAAATATCTCTCAGTAAATGTTTTTCAACATGATTAGAATGGTGGTGGGAAAGGAAAAGAAGATGAGGTTATATCGCCATATATTAGTATCCTAGCGGTGGAGAAAATGGCAAAACGCTTCGCATTTTGGAAGGAAAAAGAAAGAGAATATTGAAAACAAAACAAACCTTTCACTTTAAATGACTTCATTTTACTTTTTTTATACTAGTGGGTCTATTTTTAATACCCTCTCAGGCATTTAAAATTTTATTAGCAAAGCAAGCAAACATTATCAGCTGTTGTTCCACCAGCATAATTATTATGACAGAAACCATCTTACTTCCTCCAGAGGATTTTTTTTTTTTCATTTTTTCTGCCTTAAATTCAGATGTCCCTCAAGGATGAAACTTTATTACCTCAAACTCCCAGCAAACATCATTTCTAGGATATAACACCTCCCATTTGTTATTTTTAGCGTAGAGGTTTTTAAATCGTTAAGAGTCTGGCAGATGCAATGATTTATGTAAATTCTTTATCATCTCGTGGGGGATTAATGTACTGTAATTTGATAATGGCCCTCCACTTTAAGAGTCAGGACTACTTCCAGAAGAAAGCAACTTGATTGCAGATGATGGATAGTGTAAACCACCACCAATTTCTACTATTTGACCAAAGATTCATTTATCATTACCATTTTTCTTTGTAGTACTTTTAATTATAACTGCCATTGATTGTCAGATACAGAATACAAATGGTTGCTCTTTGGCATGATATGTTACGTACTTTAGTTGCGTTAAGATTTCTCTTAACTTTCACCGAAAATATTTATCTAGCCTTAATGAAGCCGGTGCTTAATATCCAGAAATTCTGCTAAACTACAAAGACAGCAAGAAGTGATCTAACTTTAATCTACTTTGAAAGGTTAAACATCAGTTTAATAGGGCATATAAAACAGATAAAGGTTTATCTTAGCAAGCTTTTCATTTTAATGATGTCTATACTTTTCAAGAGTTAGAAAAATCAGGTTTCAGTATAAAACATGCATTTGAATGTTCCTTAACATAACAGCTACTGTTATCTAATAATATAATTTATAAAAGCTTGGTAGTTCTGGGGTAGGTGTGGGAAAATGACCTTATAGTAAATTGAATTGTCACCACGGATAATGTTGAATGCACATGAACAGGAATCTTATTTGTTGATAAAAGTCCAACAACCACAATCTGAAGAGAAAAAATAGCAGTCATCTACTTAATAATGCATTTACTGAATCTGTTTTTAGACCAATAGAAGACAGTTACTTTAAGAATTAAAGCTAACTGATAAACGAGGGGTCAATGTACTTTAAATCTCTTATTAAAATGCTTATACAAACTATGCATTCAATATGACTGATACTTTATATAGACATTTCAATTTAGTTGTGGCTGTAGAACACATTAAATCATTTCAAATTTAAAGGTAAGAGAAAAAGGGAAACATATGCATTTGGGGTTTTTTTTTTTAAAAAAATGGAGCGCCCGTAAATCGCACTGCATTTGTGGATACTTTTCATTAAGTTTTGAAAAGTACTTTTCAAAATACTTTTGTCCTAAAATATTATTAGCAAAATATTGTTTTATTTCTGATTGCTAAACTTCTGTTGAAGGTTGTTTCTAAATAATTATCAACTAAAAATTGCAGTAAACTACTGTAATTAGAACCACCTTAAATGGTGCATGTCATTTAAAGGTATTTAAGAGTTTCATGCTGATGCTTAAAACTCTTATAGAAAATATTTCTAGGAAAGGAACAGGCGATGAATTAGTTACCCCCTATATGACGGTTTACTTTTCAGTGAAATCTTTGGCAAATATGTGTCAAAATCTTGAGAAGATTTTCAATCCAGCACCGTTTATGGATTTTTCTCTACAATGTGAAATTCATAATTCATAGGTACAGAAATATTTTAACAACATCCATAATGTTACCACTTTTCACACTTTCTTGCATTATGAAATAATTATTCCTATCTAAACCATTGTAGTTTAAAATAAATTCAAAGCTTCTACCCTAGTGTTTAATTTCATATTTTTTTAAAAAAATATGGGGGAAAGAGAAAGAGTTTTTTAAAACTAATAAAATGAAACCCAGTCATCCAGAACAGAATCTTTACCAATATAAAAACTGCAAATAAAATAGCAGAGAGATCATGTTCTTTGGAAACTTCATTTCCACCATACCTGGAACATATTTCAAAGGCCACAAATTCTGCATGCATGTTAGCGAATTCCACCAGCGCTCGCCCCAATTCAACATGCAAACAAGAATCACCTATGAGAAACTTGTCAAATATGAAACACTTCCCCCCCCCACCAATATTTGAATGTCTAATTCTATCATCCTTGAAGCACAGTTACTAGTTATCTTCTATAATCTAGTTCTGATTTGCAAAGCAAACAATATATACCAATGTGCTTGCATGATTATTAATAGCTACTGCTATTTTTTGTCTAATTTTTAAAAATTATTCTTGGGCTAACGTAATCATTTTAATTACATCAGTGAAAAAAGGAAAACAAAGGAGAGGAAAGTTATTGAAACTGACTTTATACTAAAGGTAAGAGAAACCTCCCACTACCAAGGGCTAACTGGTTTACCATTAGCCCAACTCCATTTTGTGGGGCCAATTTTTTGCCCCTAAAAGGGTTCTTCTCTCCTATTTCGTCCACCCCAGAGCCGATTTCAAACAAAGGAAAACAAAATGAATCTGTCAACATACCCAAATTGACAAAGCTCATGACCATATCTGCATCATTCAGAAAGTTGGTGTCGTGTAAGCTAGCCAAGGTGGGACTTTGTGTAGGCAATGAACTTGTCCGTGATATGTATATTCTTCGGGAGTATCCATTTGGAGATGCCAAGTAGCCTTTCCGTAGCCCTTTGCCCTCTCCACTTGGCGATGATCCCCTCATCAAATATTCCAACTCTTCGGGATCCTGTTCATTTGCCATTGCGTTGTAGAGATCCAGCATGAAGAGAGGTGCTGAGGAAGCTTGTTTTCCAGCTGAAAATGGCCTGGGTCTATGTGGTAAACCCAGGATGGAAAGAATTTCTCTTTGGATCTCTCGCCTCTCATGGTTCCGCAATCTCCGGTAAATAAAACTGGAGTGGACATGGTTGTCCCCCATGCCTGCCTTAGCATAATCCACTAAAAGCCAGTAATTCCAGAGTAAGCTCAAGAGAACTTTGAACAGAGTTTGGTCCATTTTAAAATAAAATAAAATGTGCAAATAATGTTTGTAATAATGTTGTATATTTCCCTTTTTCTGGTCTCTTGCGAAGTCTGGTGTTCCCAGGACCAAGGAAGGTTAAAATAAAATACAATAAAATAAATGAACGATGAACAACGAATTACCTATGCTTCAATGTCAGCGTTGCCATTTCTGTCCCTCTCAACTTGATCATCTTTGTTCCACTTCTTCCTTGAGTATGATGGGCCGTGTCGGGCTGCCTGCCGTCCTACGAAAGCTGAAATTCAGACGTCCAGTTTTCTACTGCTGTTACTGATTCTCCTGCACTGGTGGAACAGGTTCCCAGAAGCTGATCATTTGATGCAGGCATTCCTAGTCAAAAACCTTGAGATGATCAGACTTGGAGATAGTTTTGAACGAAACAACAGATCACCTTGTCAAACTGCCATGATAAAGCAGTGTCCCCTCATGCTCTGATTCTCAATCCCCCAACTAGGTAACTCTTTTTCCACCTTGCTGTCCTCTCCTAAATGCCAGCTTTCTGTCTTCAACTACTGCTTGGTGATGGTGTAATTTCCCTTTGGTGTTTTTTTTTTTTCAGCGCCCAGCTGAGCCTATTAACATTTGTAATGTCCAGCCCATCTGAAACATGCATCACAGGCTTGAAAACGTCTTCCTCTGAAATTCACCCAGGGATGTTCTTTTTTTTAAATAAAAAAAAAAACAGGACCCCTCCCCTTCTCAATATCCATCCAATCTTTTGCAGTTCCTTAAAAGTGATTTTCACCTCTAACCAGGCAAAAACAGAGCAGCTCCTTTTCAAGAGATCTGAAAGCTAATGTAAGCATAGCCCTGCTGGGAGAGAAGAGGCTTCTCATTGTAATTTGAAACTGGCAAAGTGAGGGGGGGGGTGAATGAATTAACCCTTCTACTGCCACACGGTTAACTCCCCCTCCTCAACCAGCCAGTATAGAGTTCTCTAACAGGATGGAAGGAATGACCTCTTCAAAAAGAATTGTGTCAACAGATCGATCTTAAAATTTAGCATGCCATTCACCTGAGTACTTGCGGCTGGGGGTCGAATGAACGTAGGGCTTGTTGGAATTATACTAGTTTGCAAAGCATATTCAACTCTATCCTCTTTTTAAATGTAACCACTTGCAGCCCAGGTTAAAAAATTTGAACATTCCACTGAGATCAGCATGTGAGGCCAGAAGTTTTTTCGGACATGCTCCTTAATTTGGAAGTCACTTCGGAGTCACACAGTTTCAAGCAGAAACCTAAAAAGCAGGGTTATCTTTCCAGTTAAAGGAGCATGACCAAGGATACAGTTTCAGAGTCAGCCACCTAAAATAGGTGCAGTGGAAACGGACTGGGTTTTTCTATACCATAAGCGTGAATGCTGCTTTTCACCTATTTATCGCCCGAAAACAGCGTTTATTTACAAAATAGTGGAAGTGGATTTTTCACAAACCCTTACAATACTTTCATCTCTCTGTTTCCTGTTTGCTTTTCTGGATATGTTACAGTTAGTAAGTATTGGTCTCTTGTGGAAATTGGGGGGGGGGGAAGCAACTCTGAACATTTTCCCCCATATATTTTGATTCATTTTTTTTTTCTTTCAAAGGCAGTCCTGAGCCACTGCCAGGGCAATTGATCTCAGAGGAATGCAAACCTTTTGAATTGGATAAACGCTTAATTTGATAAAACGGAAAATAGCAGGCTCATCTGACACCACAGGAGGGAGATCACAGAGATCCATTGACATGCCAGCTGAGTGTAAGAAGATTGTCGTATTAAAAAGAGAGGGAGCTTGTTTGTTTTAGTGCTTCTTTTAGTGTTTGTTTTAGTGCATATATTTTTTTTAAAAAAAATGTTCCACTAATCAGATGGAAATTATTACTCAATATTTCAGCAATCAAGTTAGAACCTTCACTTGTGAATTCAGCTTTCCATTTCTCTTTTCACCAAGCCTTCAACACAAAAGTGCATTCCTTGTTTTATCAAATAGGATATACCAAAGGGGCATTAGTGAGTGATTAAATGAGGAGATCGCTCTATATGGGCAATAGATTCTCAGTGAATTCATTTCTTCTCGCTCCAACCATTTAAATGGTATCAGTCCACACACTATCTTTATATTTGAATTTTATTTATTATTACTTTAAAATGACTATTGGCCAGAGGTGGGTTCCTACCAGTTCACACCTATTCGGTAGAACCGGTTCGTCAAAT